TCAGCCTCTCCACCGACCTGCCCTGCTGAGACCCGCTAGTACCTCTGCTGACCTGCTTACCACCCTGGCAGGGCAGTTCTGGCCAAACCTAAGAGATCACATCCTTGTTTTTCTCAAAACCCTACAAAGAGGCATCATCTCACTGTGCAGAAGCCCAAAGCTTGACACTGGTGTACGGTGCCCTGGTCCCCTTCCTCCCCCTCCAGCTACTCTGTACCTTGGGAAAGGTGTGCCTGAGATCCCTTGCACATGCTGTTCCCCGTGCCTGGACAACTCTAGTTATCTGCATGGATCCCTCCCTTGTTCCTTTTGGGTCATTTTTTCTCAAATGTCCCCTTTTCAGGTAGAACTTCCCTGATGCTCCAATTTAAAATCATAACCCTTTGCCAGGTACCCCCAGTGCCTTTACCTGTTAGGTCATAGCACTGCTATTGCTACGTGCAGTCTCCCCAGCTAGGATGGCAGCTCTAGTTCACACCCTGCTTGGAACCCCCAACACTTAGAGACGTGCCTAGTGCATAGTAGGTGCTCTGCAATTATTTGCCCAGGTGGGGGGTGGGGGTGGGGGAGAGCAGGTGCTTCTGCCACACTCAAGTTGAGGGACGATGGTCAAGGCAATTCTCTGGACTTCAGGAATCCCCTTTCTGACAGGGGAAGGGTGACCGACCAGGGGAACAGATTTGAGATCTCTGCCCTACTGCTCAATAAATATGTATCAAGGCCTGGCCCGCTTCTGTCCCCAGCCTTGGCACTCTGCCTGCTCCCTAGAGAACCATGGCATCCCAGCCTAGGAGGACCTGGGAGCTACCAGACCAGGGGATGACCTTGTGATTTTCAAGTCTCAGTGGCAACTGTCCAGTCTAGTGGGTGGAGTTCACACCTCTTCTTTACTGCCCTTGTGTCCACCTGAGTGACCCCTGGCTAACCTTGTCCCTGGTGCCCTTGCCCTCTCCTGCCTTCAGTGCCTCCTTTAATCCCCAGCTTTCCTTCCTAGACTCTCTCCTCGTCTCCAGTTTAGTTGTTTATTCCTGGAATGGCATTTTGCAAGAGGGTCTCCAGGTCTAGACTTTGCTGAGCACAGCCATACTTGCCCAGGAAGCCCTAAACAACCCCACAGAGCTCTCCTGCCAGTCAAGCTGGGGGGTGAGGGTGGGGTGGGACTCACTTGGTGGGGGGGGAGGTTAGCACCAGCCAGCTCCAACATTCTTGATGGAGTATCTACTGTGAGCTAGGCACTGTTGCTGCAACCCCCCTTCTCACTGGACTCCTGACAGTAGGTCCAAGCATAAGTTTGTGGGCCATGCAGCCTTCTATAGAATGATGCCACTTCATCCATTCGATATATATTTAGGAGCACCTACTATGTGCCAGGCAAACCCTCTCTTGAAGCTTATGGGGCCACCTGGTTTTGCTGAGAGGATCTTGCTGTGTGTGTCGTCCAAGGAACAACAGAGACCCCTGGAACAGCGGCCCACCACCACCCCATCCTATGAGGGCTCACTCCTCCCTGGAACCTGTGAACAGCTCTCCCAGGTGACTTTTAACAGGGCAGGTGACCTGTCATGGCAAGTCATGATGCTCTCCATCCTGTCCACTGTTTTTTTAAGGGGCTGCTGGTTCAGAGGGAAATTCTCTGGACTGCGTCAGGTTGATCGGGGGACAGTTTGGACCAGTCTCACTCATTTACTCATTCATTCATTCATTGACTCAGAAAATACTATTTACTGTGTGTCAAGCACCATTTGAAGCATTATCAGTGAGCAAATGATCAGAAATACATGAATCGTGTATTTAAAGGTAGGAGAGAGCCTTCCAGGCAGAGGAATCCATCAGGGCAAAGACCCTAGGTAGGGCAGGAGTGTACCTGGTGAATTCAAAGAGCATTAAGTGTACAACATGGCTGGGCAGCAATGAGGGAGGGAGGGAGGGCAGATGGGTGGACCATGAGGTTGGGAGTGCTGACTGTGTAGGCTCTCCCACCCTATGGTCTGGTGAGGACTGTCTGTCTTCTGACCATTTAGAAACCACAGGAACATGTATGTCCCTGCCCTCCAGGGGAATGGCCACATACTGCCACCTTCACATTCACACTAGAGTTTGGCCCTGTGGGCAGCTGCGTGGAGGAGGTGGCTGAGTCAGAATGCGACAGGGTGGTCTGAGACTGAGGGTAAGGATCAAGAGTCATGGAACCAGGGTTAAGGGGTTAGCTAATGGCTGCCTCGTGTTCTCCAGTATGAGTTTCAGCCTTGATGATCACACAACAGCCTTTTCTGGGCTCACCCAACACAGTCAGGACTGAGTGACCCTGGCTCCCAGGCCAGATATTGAAGATAGGGACTAAGAGGTTTGCTCTATTTCAAAGGCAGGGAGACCTGAGCCCACAGAAGGGGGGTGCTGCCAGGGCCTGCTGGCTAGAAGGGTGGGGGTGGGGGTATCCTACTGCATTCTTACCAGGTAAGTCCATGGCCACGAGAAGGTTTCTTTATAGTGGCTCAGAGCCCTGCTTTCCTACCTTTGGAAGTGGGGGAAGGTTGTCTGGGCAGCCCTTGCTCCCAAGCCTGACTGTCAAAATGCCCATTCCCAGGCCAGGGACACAGTAGGTGCAAGGCTCTGGGCATTTGGTTCCCTTTGGGCTAGAGACCTAGAATTGTGTGTGTGTGGGGGGTTGTTTTTAAGTTTTCTTATTGACATATTGGAGGACCTGGGGGGGTGTCTCTGCCCTCCCCCAAACTACAGGTGGCAGGGCTGAAGTGACATTATTCTAGAGTTCTGGAAGTATGGTGCCCCACCCTCTGTGGAGCCCCTATGACCCCAGGGCTCTGTAGGGGCCAGGCAGGGAGCGCCCCCACAACCAACCTCTTCTGAAGCTATGGCGAGCTGGGGCTGAAGTGTCTATGTATGGGGAGTTTAGCAGGGGGTAAGAAGTGAGCAGCAAAGCCCAAGTGTGAAAGAGGTCATGGGGCGCGCTGCTCCCCTCCAGTCAGAACAGATGAGAGGAGGCTTAGGTCCAAGGAGAGGCAGAAAGACTGATGGGAGTCTCATCTTAGTGATTCCAGTGCGCACCCCACCTCCTGGTGCAGATACTAGATTGAAAGACAGACTGGATGGATGGGTGGGTGGATAAAGAGACGGATGTAGGAATGAATGGTTGGCTGCGTGGGCAGCAAGGCAGCCCGTGAGACCAGCCAGTGGAGTGCTCAGTCACAACCGTCCCCCACCCGCCCCGGGCAGACACCCCCCAGCCCCACCCGGAGCACTCAGTTCCATGGCCACTGGGGCTCTGGACCGCTTCCGGAAACAGGGAGAGGAGGGGCTGCAGGGCTCTAAGCCCTGGCTTTAGTGCTCCAGCAGGATTGTCCTCCGCTGGCCATGGAGACAACCTGAGGTATGGTTGGGCAGCAAGCTCATCCCCCCACCCCTCTCCGCTCGCCCTCCTCCTCCACTCCCCACCCCCGCTCTTTGTCTGGGTCAGATCTTCAGCTGCCTCTGGGTCAGCACCAGCCATGTATAGTGGGAGCGTCTCAGTTGCTCCCCATATCTGAATCTCAGCCCCTCGCCACCCTGTAGGCTCCTTCCTCATTCAGGCAGGGTCCCCTAAACCCAGAGCCTCTAGGACCGCGGGGCCGGCAAATGCCAAGATCTTCAGGGCTGCGGTGGGGAGGGAGGATGGAGGCTACCCTCCCCTCGCCTCCACCCTCCCCTTCGCCACTCCACGTCCACTTTGCGCCCCGACCCCAGCGCCGCCTGTTCGCACCTTAATCGGCTCTTGTACTGCGGCGCGATCCCGGATGGATGCCACGCGGACCCACTCCCCCGCCCCCCTCCCGCAGGCCTCATCCCCCGCACGCAGAACACAGCCCCACCGCTCGCACAGGCGCAGTGACCCTCAACACGCAGCCCTACACCACCGCAATCTCACGGAGCAACAAGACCGCACAGACACACGGCGCCCCTAGGACCCCCACAGCCCCACGATAGCACAGCCCCCCATACGCACAGAACCACCCCGCGCGGATGCGCAACCCCTTGGGGCGCACACCCGCACAATCCCACCCACGCAGAAGCCTTCTCGCTGTAAACAATCACCCACAGACACCATCCTACGCAGGCACCGCATCATTTCAGTCTTACCCAGACCCCCAAACACGTTCACCAGCTCGTCCCCGGGCTCCCAAAGGTCGGGACACTCCGACGTAAGCACAAACCAGAAAGGTGCACTGCATGGATACCTACACTGACCCAGATGCTCTGCAAGGAGCTCCCTGAGGGCGCGGAAGTCCCTGGGAAAAAATTAAAGCGCTCCTTCCTCCCACTCTAACCCTGATTAGAGCGCGCACGCGCGCGGGGGGGGGGCACACACACACACACACACACACACACACACACACACACACACTGTTGGAATAAACAATTAGAGAAGTTTCTCTAGGTAAGTGGAGAGGACAAATAAAGGTTGATACTTCTCTATCTGCTGCAGGCCCATATAGTCCACGGTAAGGGGCTAGAATCAGGCAAGCTGAGTGCATATTAAATTTCCGTTTCTGTTCACTGTGTGTCTTTGGCAATATACAAGCTGTGGAATTGCGGGTGACAAATTATTTGACACAATTCAAGTTTCAGAAAGTTGGATAATTGCATTAGTCAATACAAATGATTTACTATAGCGATACCATATTTTAGGGACTAGATTACAGGACATGATAAATATCCTAGATATGCCCATTAACATGACTGCATTCCAGGATTGAGAGGTAAAACTCATAAA